CACACACACACACACACACACACACACACACACACACACACACACACACACACACACACACACACACACACACACACACACACACACACACACACACACACACACACACACACACACACACACACACACACACACACACACACACACACACACACACACACACACACTGTTATGTGTATTATAATGTACATTAATTTCATTGAATAAAACTTTCACAGTTTGTAATGGCAGTTGCTTGATTTAGGATAAGTTCCTTTCCCAAAGATTTTAAAATGGTTTTAGATTTAGGAAAAAAATAGCATCATTGCATTTGTTAGGTTATTCTGAATGATACAATTTTGTTAAGGCATTTTGGGGTCAGCATGTTTTTATCTCCTTATAATTTAGAAAGGCATGGCCTCCTTAAAATATTGTAAATGATTTAATGTTTGTTATTCTAGACACTGGAAGAGATGCAATGAAGGAAGCAGGGGGTCTGGCAAAGCTTCTGGAGTTTATGAAATATCACCTGAGCACAACAGGAGAGCAAGAAAGTGAATTGAGGATGATTCTTTGTGGCTGCCTAGTTAATCTGACCAATGCAAATGGTAAGATTAAAATCAGTTGGTGACATGAAAAATGACTTAAATTAATAACAACTGCTAGCATAAGAAAAATTATTGTCTATTTATTATTTTATAATAATAAATTATTGTCTATTTATTATTTTATAATAAATTATTATTATAATACTGCTGGTCATCAGTGACTAAGTGTCTTGACCAGTGATGATGGTGCTTTGTACCTGAACTTCTGATGGATTTTGTGTGATTTTATTACATGGTCATTATAATTTTACCAAGAATTAAGCCTTTTTTATATGGGAAAATTTAACATTTGTACCAAATCATACAGCCATATTGATACACTTAATTGTATGACCTAGGCTAGAAAATATCTCACCTTACAATATTTGCTGTGAATATATACGTATAATATTTACTATCTCTCTCACCAGAGATAAGCTGAACTACATAGTTTAGCAGAGTGGGGCCATGATATGAAGTGAGGATTAACCTCGATCCTTATTTATAGACATGACTGTTTCTTTTTATGCCAGACACCTGTCTGTGCCATTGCCAAGCTTTTTGTAATGATTTATTTCTTGAAAATGGATACCAATTAAGACCATTTGAAAAAAAAAGAAATCAGATATTTGGAAACCAGAGAGTCATTGTGATAATTTTTTTTTTTTGCTAATGTGTGATTTTAGTAAATAGTTCCCTTTTTAATTAAACAAATCAAAATTTAAATAATCATTGATACATGTCACTTAAAATTTTACCAGCACATGTTTGTCCATTTATTTAATACACATAGGTGGTTAAAACTGTAACTACAACTTATTTGCACAGTGTTTGAAACAAAGAAAGGTTTGTTGTTGTTGTTGTTGCTTGTATGGATGTCACTGACCATTTGTAGTAGATATTACGGTCATTGAACTTGCATGTAATAGGGACATCAAATTTGTCTTGGTCATGCTAAAGTAGGCTGTTGTTTGCACACAGATAAAAAACAAGAAGTAAGAACAAAAAGTGGAAAAAAATTAATGGCCATGTGATCTGCTATCTGTGCACATAAAGAAAGATATAATTGTCATATGATAAAGAGTCTCATGTTATGGTAAAAACTAATATGTAACTATATTCTAGAATGTTGTTCAGATATATTTATTATCCTTTACAACAATGTATGATTCATGTCTAATGTGGTTTTCTCAACATTTCAGAAAGCTTGCAGCTATTGGCACTAGAGAGTGGAGCCCTTGAGCTTCTTAACCAGTACATCAAGAGTTTCCAGGATGAGAAAGATGTTATACAAATGGCCCTTTTGTGTGTGGACTGCTTGGCAGACACGGGTATTGTGTCTTGATCGCCTATCCCTGGATCATTTCTTTATTTTTTCCCAACCAGATATAGGATTGTATTTTAAAAGCATTTGGGTCTGAAAGTAAACATTTAATTTTCTTTTTCACACCTCACTGTGCTTTGAAAAATTAGAAATATTTTATTAGGTTGATCAATTTCCACTCTATATTTCTTTGCATTCTTTTTTATTCTTAAAGTTTACTAGTAACTGTACATTCCACCCACAATCCATGTATTATTTAATAGACAAAGGTAAAGAGCTTCTTGAGAAGATACCTCTGGTTTCCTCGCTGACAGAGCTGTTGGAAATTGATAGTAGTCAGGAACAGAAGGAAACTGTGCTGGATGCACTAGCCACAATGGCCGAGTCAGGTAAACAAATCACAATGATTACAATACTGATTTAAACAGAAAGTGCTGCTTTGGTAAAAAAAATGCTATTTATGTAACATGTACTGCAGTATTTATATATGTATTTGTGAAATTATTTTTCTAGATGCTGTTAAAAAAGAACTGGCTGCCACAAAAGCGGCCAAACACTGCACAACTATCCTAAAGGAAAAATGTAAACTGAGGGATGACAAAAGTCAGCAGTTACTCAAACTGGCAGCAGACTTGCTTATATTGATTCTTACTGGAGGTGAGTTGTGAAGTAATAATAGCTGTACGAGTGTATGGATTGAAACATTTTGCTTCAGCTGACAAACGTGTCAATGAAATTGAATTGTTAAAAATACCAGTGTGTTAAATTAAAAAAAAATTATTATACTTCCATTTACAGACGAGAGTGTAGAGATATTGTACAATGATGGGGAGGGAGAGATTTATAAGGAAACGCTCTCTTGGTTGAAGACGGGTAATATTGTCCTCCAAACTACAGCTGCTTTGGCCATAGGGAACTTTGCAAGAAGTGGTAGGTGGCGCACGTGCATGCGTGTGGTTGGATGGGGAACTAAAGTTTAAAGTTATTAGATTGTCATCAACATAAATGCAAATATGTTCCAGAAAAGATTTCTAAAATGTAGTAAAATTCACATCAGAAAAATTTCTTAAAGTAAATATATATTTCAAAATATATATGCTTGCTACAAACAAACACACGAACACATATTCTAAAAGTTACTGAATGATATAATCCAATGAACTTTTTTCTGAGATTAGTTTTTCTGTTATCTTTAATTTTTTTATTTAGACATATTATCTTTAATTTTTTTTTATTTAGACATATATTGGACAGTCTTTTTTTCATCTGTTTAAGATGACCAGTGTTACAGACTGGTGCATAGAGATAAAATTGTCCCAGACCTGCTTAATCTCCTCACAGACTTAGATGAAATTGGAATGAATACTACGCTACACCATGCGGTGCTAAGTACTCTAAGAAATCTAGCAATACCAGGTAATTTCACAGCCTTTCTACTTATACTCATCATGTGGTTGATTAATACAAATACTGTAGTCAGTGTGTTAGCAATAAAATTTCTTTGCATTATTTTGCTTTATGTGATAATATTTTAACTGAAAGAATATTTATGATAGGGCAAAAGTTTGTAAGATGTATGTAACTTTTTTATTGTTCTCATATTGAGGCATTTATATTTTCAAATGATGCACTACAAATATTCTCTCATTTCACAATGGCTTTAAATAAAAAATGAATTGTATTGCAGCTGAAAACAAGCCAAAGCTGATTTCCCTTGGTCTTATAGAAAAAGTTCTTCCCCTTACCTCTTCAGTAATGACGCCAGTGATCTTCAAATTGCTTGGAGTGCTCCGGATGTTAATCGATGGAGAAGGTAGTTTCACATGAATAAGCAAGAAATTACACACTTGCTGTTGTCTCTGTGTATTCCTAGAAAGCAAGCTGCCTAAAATTTGCCATTTTGAATGATACGAATATATATATATTTTTTGCAATTAATGAGTAAGAGGAAGTTTATTATTAAGAGTGTAATGATTTGATGATTTTTTCTTTTCACTAAAATGGAAAATGCATTTTTTACCCTGGATCTCTGCATTTTAGTTTTAGCAGCCACCAAACTGGGTACTAATAAAGAGTTTGTGGAGCAAGTGGTCTCTTGGTGTGGTATGAATGCTCACGAGGGGGTCAAAGGTAAGTCTTTCTCTCTTGATTTATTGATTACTTTTGGAAAACTGGAATCTCTTATTCAGTATCTTTTATTTAGTATATAATCATATGGCTTCAGATAAAGGGTATGTGCACTGTGTGAGTATATGATTTTGGTGGAGTTTTTTTCTTCCATTGATGAACTTTTTTTTTAAAGAATCAAAAGTATTTTGATGCAGATGACTAAATCTATATGAAGAATTATGAAGTGAAAAAAATGTTTTGTCATGGAATTAGAAATAGATCTCCCTGTTACATATCCAAATAGAGAACAACACCATGAAAACTTATAATATTTATTTGCTTTATTTATTTTTTCTCATTTTAGGAGAAGCCAGTCGTATGTTAGCCTGGATGATAAAGAATTCCCGTAGGACGGAGGTAGCTTCTACTGTGTTGGAATGTGGTGGACTTCCATACTTGGTGCAGATGATAGTGTCAGAGCATACAGTCATGCAGATGGAGGCATTGGTTGCGCTGACACTAATTTCAGCACTTATCATAGGTTAGTACAGGGAAGTCTTTCTGTTATCACTTCAGTTGCAATTCTTATTTCTGTATCTATCAGTTTTTTTCATATTTGAATCATACTGTCTGAATAGAATCAAAGCAAGTTTTCATTTCTTTCTTTATTTATTGATTTTATTTTTTTCTAGTTCATGGGTATTTAAATACAAAAACATAATTTGTTTTTGAGAAAAATCCCATGATGCTTACATGATGTGTATTGAGACTGTGTTATTTTGACTCTGTTATTGTAGGGCCTGCCGAGGAACAGCTCCTGGCCTCTGACCTTATCACCAACCTACGCCAGATATTGACTACTGGTGATACTAAAATGGAGATCATTCACAATGCTTGTACCTTGCTGGGGAAATTGGGAACATCTGGTAGGATTGAACCTGCATTATTCAACCCCTCATTTTTTTTATCCAATATCTTTGTTTAAGTTGACAACAGAGTATTCTTTTAGATTTTATGTCATTTCAAACTGCCTTAATTGAATTTTCCCCAAAGCATAAAAATTATGGGTATACATGCAGTTCGTAGTATTTGATCCACTGTCTAGTTCTTCACTGTGAACTGTTTATCTAACCGTTGTTTAGCCAGTTAGCAAATAGCTGACTGTTATTATTGCCCAATGTGTTGTCTTTTGCTTGATGGCGACAGTGTTTCTGGAGCCAATGGATTTTATTTTAAGAAGAAATACTTATCAAAAAAGAAAAAAACTTTCTAGAAGTCAAAAGTTGAAAGGAGTGCGTAACAGTAAAATTGACTTAAAATGTTTGTGCCTATAGATTTACAAGTATGAGAGAAGTTGATGAATTCATGAGGAAGATTTAAAGTGATTTTTCAGTGTGCAGCATCATATCAATTAAAAAAAAACACTTAACCTCTGTATAATTCTTACCAGTTAATCTGAGATTGTATTTTTATGTTGCCATATTTTAGAACCAATAAGAGCCAAGATAGAAGAACAAGGTATTCTGGAACATCTTCCTGAGCTGGAGAGGAAGTCTTCGCAGTCGGGCATACCAGCCCGGGCCAAGATGCTCACCAAGCAACTCAGTACAGACCAAATGCCTATGAGCCCATAGAGCTGTAACACATTCATATTTGAGTTGTCTCAATTTGCACATTTTAAATATTTTGACAAGATATGTTCCAAAAAAGGAAAAAATTTTAAACACTTAGTCTAATATTACATTTTTTTAAATGATCCCAATATTTGTCTTTCTTTTTTGCATTTAAACCCATTTGATACCTCTTTTTTATGTGTCCTATTGGGAGGCATATTTATTTTTTTATGTATCCTTTTCATTTTGGAAGAATTATTCATTCCTGATGTGTATCAGTTTAGAGTGAATAAGCTTAGAATTTTAAACACACATTAAGTACATAGCCAACTTTTTATTGAACTTAACTGAAGACAAGTAATACTTTTTGATAATTTTTACAGATAAATGCCATGAATTTATATTGCAAAAGAAAAGAAACATAAAATTTACCTCCTGACAAACATAACGCCTGCCATTCATCCTGACACAGTTTTATATTGTGCAGATTCCAGAAATAAGTACAAAAATTGAGCTTACAGTTATGGCGGTGGAATTTGAAAAACCATCACTTAAGCATGGATTAGTTCAATTATCTGAATTTGTTACCGAGTTGTGGCCAGTGTCTGAAAACAAGGATCAAGGTTGGTTAGTCAGAGAAAAACACCATTTACCCCAGGAGATTTTGTTTTGGAAAATCCTACACAGTGCACCTTTAGCACTGTCTGGACCTTGTTTTTTATCTGGTGTGATTGTAAATTAGACCTACATGTAACAGTAATCTTGTATAAAGATTATATTGATATTAAGACTAATACATAACCAGGACTTAATTTTACTCTGCATATGTGGAAATGAATGCCAATTATGATTTGCCTAATAGGTGTGAAATATCTTGGTAAGACAGTACAGGGTATTGAGAAATATATATATCATAGATGGTTTGACCAAACTAAATAAATTTTTATCATTTTCATAAGTGCATCCTACAGCTAAGTTTTGTTTTAGTGCAGCACGCTGTGCTACTAAGTATATTTCTTAAACATGTATTATTTTGTGGATTTAGCATTATTTTAATTAGGTAACTCCTTTAGAAAAAAATGTGTGAAATGATATATTAAGTGAAATATAATGATCAGATGTATCATAGTAAACCTCCTTTTAGCAGGTACTCGGATATTATCTGGTTTGTAGTTTTTGCAATATATGGGTCAGTTAATTATATTAGTAATACGCAATATTATCTATAAATTACTAATCTGGTGTGCTTGGCCTAAATGGCTGCATGCAGGAATGTTAACTGCTTTGGATAAAAAGCATTTTTTTGAAGGTGTATTAGGTGCAAATTTTGCACCTATTGTTAATGAAAATAACCAAAAACTTAAAAATTAATGTTTGATCAGTATTGCAATTTTGCCATTATGTCATGATAGCACTCTTCTAATCATGTTCAAAACTTGGAAGTCTTTAACAAAAATAACAGAATGTCTCAATTTTTATCAGAAAAGTGTGCCAGGTAGTTGCAGAGTACTTTTCCAATGAAGTTGTACGATATTAATTATACTAGTACTTACTAAAACATCATCGCGACAGACCACATATCTCAGGTGAAGTCATTTGGTTATGTGAAGGACTCTAGAGAAAAATATTAACTTGGTGCTATACATTAGACATAGTATTTAACTGGAGTGTAAACCAGGCTGACTTTGAACCACAGGTGTGCAATTTTAAGGTCAAGTTCTTTGCCATGATGCTATTTGATGACCATCGTGTGTCAGTGTCATTATTCCTTATTGTAATTAATTAATCCATGATTAATCATTATACATTTTTCATATTGATGGCATAAACATGTACTTCTGTATCTGTCAGTTGTCCTGTTACACATCTTGTCATGATATTTCATTGTCTACGTCTTCATGTCACTTCCATGACAGTTACGAAATTTAGCCCCACTTCAGTGAATTCAAATTATCGGAGGTGACTTGGGATCGAATGGTTTATCAAGTTACTTTTTGTATCAGATAACCCGATCTTCAACTTCTTTAACATTTGTAGACTGATTTTTTTCTTAGAGTTTATAACATGATACAAAAATCCATTTGACATGTAATGTTATAATTTATTTTGCTAAAAAAAAACAAAGTCAATGAAGCCACACAACAATCCTCTTGGTGATGAAAGTTTCAACTTCACTAATGTCATGGTAAGCTGAAGAAAGTATTTGAAAACTAAAACAGCTCAATAAATGTTTTAAAAAATAGAATACATAAATATATGAAATTAAGTAGACAGCAGGACTGGTTCATAATTCTAGATGTAAAATTGTCTTATTTAGATTGTGGAACATTTCCTTCTCCTAGCTTAAAACAAATAGTAGTCTATGTACCTTGCCTTACTATAAGAACTAGATTGTTACGTACCTGTTTACAGAAGATTATCAAGAATAAATAAGAATGTTAGAGAATGCATTAATTTGGTAACATTCTACCAGTTGAGGTTAAAGCATTTGAAAGAACCAATGAATAGACTGCATGGCGACTGCTATTGCCAGCAGAGGCTGGTGAAAATACACATATAAATAACATTATGCATGTAACCACTGAGCTACCATAAATTAATAAGTAAGATAACATAACATGTAAAAGGGGATATACCACATTATCTACTTATCTACAATCTTGCTTTGTCATATTAAGTAATTTTTTGCATTACAGTTGACAACCCTCACACTTAGATTTCTCCATCAATTTCTGGCAATGTAATGGGTAGAACCTGAAGAAATTGGCACTGTGCAGAAGATAATATGTCAGAAATGTCCACATCACACTGAACAACTATTCAGATTGATTATTCAACACTAACAACATATATATAAGAAAGACAGTTTTATTGGTTTACATCATCAGTGCCTCACACAAGACAACAAGCAAATAACAAAAGAAAAATAAAATATTCAATTTTTCTACCAAACTAAGTCACTTAATATAAAATGTATCCCCTTGATCACTATAATTTTCGTAGCCTTTAAATGTTGTGGATTCATATTTTTATAAAGCTTTTTTTTTTTTTTGGATAGAAAATGTGTCAAATACACAAGTCTAAGAGTGAATATGAAAAACAACATCAATGCATGTGTGGACATGGCCTTGTGATTTTGTCTCAAATAAATTAATACTTGTAATGTGTAACATGCATTCTAGACACATAATAGCAGATTATCTATGTCAACAGTTCTACATAAATTGCTCCACCTAATTTTTCCTATCTGTATGTTTTTAACCAATTTACAATTAATTTGGTTAAAAGAATTGTCATTTGGCTTAAACATTATGCTAGAGCAGTCCTCACCTGTTTGTAGATCTCGTTCCATACAGCTGGTGGGAAATCATATATAATTTTAGTGACACAGCTTGGTCAGATACAGTTTAAAAAGATGAAATACTGATGTGGCAAATTGGCCCATAAATAACTCCAGTATGTTAGAACGTGAGTATGTGAGCATGCAGTAAAGTGATGTGTACATGAATGTGTGAAAAAAATGATACATTATTACAGTAGAAGTTTGCAGCAAGGCAAAGAACCATGTCATAGCTTTACCACATGAATATACATAAATTATATTACCCCTTGAGCTATACTTAAAAACTAGCTACAATGATTTGGTTCCTTTTGACATTCGAAGAATATCAGTATTAATTCTGAAAAATAACTGACATTCATGAAAGAAAAAAAAAAAAGACTGGTGTATTTGTTTGTTTTGTAGTATTAAGACAGTGCTAGATGTTTGGATGATACAATTTGTTTAGTTTTCATCTTGTAAAAAAAGTGATACCCTAGCAGGATTAAATACTGAACACGCCAATAACTTAAATAAAAGTTTTAAAATCATGTCAGTTATTCGCATTTAGTATTCACTTTCTTTTCTTCCATTGCATTATCATACTAAGAATAATGACATTAAATTGACTGACACTCAAATCCCCCACCCCCCAAGTCATGTTTGAATTCGGTAAAAAAAATATCCAGTAATAAAATATGTATTAATGATACTGTAAATTAATAAAACATTCCCCTTATACATTAACTGCTGATTACTTAAACTGCTACATATATGGCATACAGTAACTATAACTGAATCTGAACAAGTGCTAATAAACAGTACCATCGATAAATTAACCACTATTATATATTTTGTCTTCATTTTTCTCTCAATATTCAATTTATGAACTTCTTCACAATCTGCAACTGTCATTTTTTTCCTTTAAGTTATAATAACCATCATCCTAGGTATAACTTTACCAATATGTCTCATCCTGATAAGACAATTATCATATAAATCTACATTGATGTTGCTACGTCTTCTTTTACAAAAATGTACTTGCTTGATGTATCACTAAAGTGCACCATGTCTCTTGTTATACTCCTGAAATAGAAACAAAATACTTACAATTTCCATGAACATATAGAGATATGCAAAAAACAAAACTTTAACCTGTACATGAATAAATCTACTGGTATATATGAAAATGTGAAAGTAACAATGATTAAAATTAAAATTTTCAAACATATCAACTTATAATAGCCCATTTAAAAATGAAGCAAACATTTTTAGTACCCATTGGAAGCAGTCTGTAAAATGATGTTCATTTAACTTAAACTAAGGCACACCATCAAAATGCATGAAAAACAACAATGCAGCCTAATCTGGTTGAAGAAGTCATTACATTCTTAAATATGAGACTACAGGAACTTCTATTACATGACCAAGGGAGAAAAATGGCAAGGGTTGAATGCAAGGGATATGAAAAATTGCAATGGTAAAACAAATTAAAAACTAAAAATTATTTCTTTAATCATACCACACACACTCACACCTGATATAATACAGATATCCTATTAAAGGAATGAATGGAAGAAAACAGTTTGTTAAAAATCTATGACCCCCCCTCCAGAATGGATAACTCTGACTATAACTCACTGATAACCTAATACTGAAAAATGATACTTGTCATGTTTGTGCAAAAAAAACTGTTTAAATTTGAAGAAATATTTGATTATTTCTAAAGAATTTATTTCTAAAGAAGGTCTCTTTTTCTTGGTGTGTTACTACATATTTTGACATGGATCTTACAAAGATGTAAACCCTCAAACAATAGACTATTTATTATACTGGTGAAAACAGCAGCTGTCTTGTACAAGAATCATCATGCTAGCTGTTTTACAATCCATGCAAAAAGTGCAAACAACAATCCTCCTAAATGTACATACCAGTAGAACTTGCAGTATTGCCTTACTGTCACATACAAAAACATGTACCAAACTCATGAACATAAACACACACACAAAAAAAAGATATCAAACATCCAACACTGGGCACAGTGAGGACACCATATCTTTGGAGAAAACGGGGGTTTCATGCAAACACCACGGGACACGCCATGCATTCCCACGCTGGGTACAGCACCAGGACTGGAAAAGCACCTCACCTGCCCTTTCATACCGAGGGACTAATTTGGGGCAAGCTGAATCTCAAGTGAGCCAGGGGCTCTATAGACAGTAGCATCTGAAGCAACAGAGAAGCAGTGGGAAATTATGAACAAGTTCAAACTATTCTAGGTCTGAGGAGATAGGTGCTGTTTGAACTGTATGCACTATCAACACCCATAAATTTACTGTAGTCTTGGGTGAAATCAAACAATAGGCCACAGATCTTGAAATGAAAGTGTTATCATTTGTTAAGAAGAATCCCCCAATGCTGATTCTTATGCCTTCATAGGTATAATAATTCATTTAATAACATACAAGTCTTCCAAACTACTCTGTTTACACTTTTTTTTTCAAAAATAAGACAATGACAAAATGTCAGCAACTGTAGCAGTGCTCGTTTAACTGAAAAAGCATCATATGGGATGACTGAAAGAAATGAAATACTTACATACGGGTTCCACATAGTTTCCCGGAAAAGTACCAAACTGTCCAGTGCGTACACACGTACCGACAAACCAACCATCATCACATTTCTCCATCACATAAACTATGTCTTTTTCCTTCAACTCCAGTTCATCTTCATTCTGAGGATGGTATGGATACACTGCCTGATACCTAAAAATTTGCAATGTTTTTGAAAAGACCAGAACAACATGGCTGACAAAATAGTGAGACAATGAATAATAACAATGATAATTTGGGACACTAAAAAAAATCTGAGCAAAGAGTCCTCATTTTAGTATGATCTTCAGGCTGGCTGTTTCCTTGCCCTCCACAGTGATTATAAGAGTAAAATAAAAAGAAAAATAAGGAAATTATTATTTGATTCTTTATTTCAAAGGGGAAATTAAAGGAATATATAACCATGCAGATTTGCCAAGAAAATGAGAAAATAAACAATTTCCAGTCCTGCAGCCCATAAAGGAGTGACAAAGAGATCCAAAAGTGTAGCTATAGCCATTAGTAATTTTAGATTTATCAGGTTTGGCAACCATCAATCCTCAAACAATACTATTTTTCTTATAATTTATATTATTATCCTGAACCACCAGTAAGTTAAAAAGCAAATTAATTTCGGATATGCCTGTAATTTCCATTTGTATATTGATACTGGACAATGAAGGAATGTAAAGAATGTTTTAACCAGGCTTGTCCACTATCTAAAATAATAATAACTGATGTCAATGAGCTGTTTTTACTTTTAGTGACTTACGGTAAGAATTCATCCTCTCCTTCACATTTGAATACTGGAATCTGTTGAGGTATTACAGTCTGCTGAAGGTTGACACTTGTTTGATGCTCACTGATTGGTGCTGGTTGCACAATTATGTGCTTCTTTTTCTTATCTTTATCCTTTACAGAGGTGGACATAGTTATTGAACTGAATGTGGTAGGACTCGGTGCCCTAATTTCCTGTGTATACCCAACATCTGGTGCCCCTCTGTGGACATCTGTAGCTCTCACAAGGGAGGGGCTCCCCCCTGTCCACGTCTGTGTAGAAAAACTCTGAGGCTGGCTGCCACTGTGGCCTGAAGGGGGAGCCACTCTATTCTGTGCTGGTCGCCCTCCTGCATCAGTGTAATCCCTAGGACTTGCGCTACGATATGTAGGTGACCAGGTCTGTGTGGAGTAGGCGCTTCCTGGATGCTGGTCATGGGGTGGACTGCTCTGCTTGGTTACTATTGATCTAGCATGTATGGTCCTGGGCGACGACTGTGGACTGTACTGTGTCCTGGTTTGTGATGAAGGACTGGCACTGCGTTGTGTGGGCGACCAGGACACTGGCTGCTGGGGGCGGGCGGGGGCACCGGGGGTGGGGCTCAAAGGACCATTGTAATTGACTGGAGACATCGGATGACTGGAAGACACTGGAAGAAAAAAGTTGGTAAATATCAGTGCAGTTTTCAAAGTATCTGAACAGAAAATATTAAACCGCTATAGCACAGTGTTGAATCTAAGTAATTTACCATCACATAAGTTGCTGAATTTAGAGACTTAATAATAATTAAACAGTTGTTTCAAACTCTAACACAAAACTTAAATTAAAAGGATAAAATGTAACCTAGAATTTAAATAGGTAAAATCCAGGGATCACTCATCAACAGAATGTAAATATTTACAGCTATTGATTTAAATCATTGATACCTGAAATTGGAGAGAATGCTCTTTTCGTTGGCTCCCTCACTACCTCCAGGTAGCTAACAGGGACAATGCCATGTCGGCTGCCTATCTTAGCTTCATACCAGTTCTCATCTACACGACGGATTAGCACCACAACCTCACCCTAGAAATAAACAAAGTGAAAATTTTAAAACTGCTGTTGAAAAAAATGCCGTAGTAAGAGTACTAACCATTTAATGTTAATATTGTTGTAAAATTATTACAAAGAAGTAAATTAGTAAATTTCTCTGACTCAAAACATCTTCCAAAATGGGTACTTAAAAATTATCAAACGGACATCAACTAATAGTTAATGGTATTAGCTCCTTACCTTCTTCACAGACATCTCCACTTTGGTTTGGGCAGTAAAATTAAACTTGGCCACAGCTTGTCCCTCTGAAACTAGGTCCTGGAGATGGGCAGCCTCTACAGAGGTGATCACCTGGGAAAACATAGCCCTTACATAAGAATTCACACTTATAGGAAATAATGCGATGCAAAAATACTCTGGAATAATACATTACTCTATATTAGTAGTACTAGAATGAGTTTCCTATTTCAGCTGAGCATTCTGTGAAGGTTTGATAAAAGTAAAGATGTGATCGCTTGGAATAATAATACCCTTACAATTTAATTCAGAGGAAATGAGATGTGAAAATATTCTAAAACATTCCATTTTTCAATATAAGTAGCAGTGGTAGTAGTAGAATAGGTTTCCTATTTCAGCTGAGCATTCACCATCTTTCTGTGAAGGTTTAATAAAACTGATTTACCTCAACATAATTAACAGGGAAGAGGCCAGTTTTTCCATGATGTTCTCCTTCAAACCAATTCTTGTCCACCTTCTTAATCAGCAAAATGATGTCTCCTTTTCTAAAGGAGAGTTCCCTGTAAGCATAAACAGTTATCGCTATTTACATACTAAGTTGCTGTATCTTATAAAGCACTCATACAGTTTTGACAGAAAGATCTTATAAAAACGATTGGAAATATGATAAATATTTCACATGAAATGAAAATAGGGTATAGGCCTTTTGCTGCTAGATGACTAGATGCTGATTTCTTTTGTTTATCAAAGAGCTTTCTATCCAGTAAACAAAAGAATGCTGGAGAGCAAACCCTTCAGTAAACAAAAGAAATCAACGTCTAGCTATAGTCATCTAACTGGAAATGGCCTATATTTGTAGATATAAATGTCAGCACTAATCACACTAACCTTGGACTTTGAGCACTGAAATTATACAAGGCCCTAGCCTTCCCATGAATTTCTGGTTTCTTTTTCATGTTCTTTCCTTGGTATCTGTCAAAACGATCAGTAGGGATGGGAGATTTCTGTGCAGGCCTATCAAGAAAATATGACTATATTTACAATACATAGACGATAAAATGCAAAATTATTATATTATATTATGAATCTTTTCAATCATGAAAGTCAGGCACTGAAAATCTTATATTTGTTTCATTTCATAAGGTTCATATATATATATATATCCCAGTCTGAATATAAAACTTGTTAGGTTTGGTCTTTCTATCAGAGGATATTAACACAAAATGACCTTGTTCTTACTAGCTATTTCTTCATATTGATCACTGGTTCCTTTCCTTCAGAAAGTGGAATTACAAAACTACAATGTTTTTTTTTCAGATACAGGATGTACCAAACCTGCATTTAAAGTAAAGATATCTAGAGACATCCTGATAATTGTATCCTTACGTAAAATAATCTGAATGCCTTCGAGCTTGAGCGTCTAGCTGTTCTTGAATGGCTTTCTTCTTTTTTTCTTCCTCAGTTATTTGTTGCTACAAAACAATTAAAACAACAATTTTAATCATGTCAAAAAACTTCCCTCTCAAATTACGACAATAGTTTTCAGCTTCCGTTTCTGCTTCAACAATATGATGCAATACATCAGTAACATATTCTGTCATTTTTACCTACTTTTTAGCTTAAATGAGAGAGAGAGAGAGAGAGAGAGAGAGAGATATTACATACTACACGAATTCTCCGTCTTTCATCAGCCTCATCCCTTCTCCGTCTGTCCCAGGAGCCGTGCGGACTGCGCTGTGCAGGTGCTGGGGGTGAAGACTCAGGTGACGGCCTCTTATTGTGGGGAGACTCTGCATCTAGAAGGCAGTGGTACTTCATCACATATGTATTATCATACACCAACATACAAGTTTCTTCAACATTGTTAAGTCGTTTTAATAACCATGAAGTTCTTAACACTGTTTTTGAACAATTTACCATGTATTATAACTTTAATTCTTCAAACATACTGGGCTATGATTTAACTGACAAAATATCTAGGAAACTGAACTATTTCGCCAGCACCTAATATGTGACAGACTGACATTCATTACCTTGTTCATATTCATTATACTATGTATAATAACTTTAATACTTCGAGCATATTAGGATATAATTTACATGACAAAATATCTAGGAAACTGAACAATTTCACCAGCACCTTATATATGACAGAAGGAGGAGCAATGCATGATCAGAAAAATATATCCAAGCAACTATTCCTGGATACCAGGTCAAGTAGAGATGGTTTGTTGTGACACACCAGAGATAAATAAATTCAAGTTCCCAAGTTAGTAAATAATTATAAGCAAAAGGAAAGTTGGGACAGATAAAATAATAGATCTTTAATTGCAATGACTGTCCCTTTTCTTTTGGAAAAGTTTAGAATTTTAATGTCACATTATGTAATACATATATTGGACAGAAAGACACTATTATGTACATAGCTAAATTCAAATACATGCATATAATGCAAGTTCTAAGCATAAACCCCATTCTTCTTCATAAGAAATAAATATATTATGACAAGTAATAGATAGACCCCGAGTCAGCGAGGGTTATGTGGCATTCACGAGTGCGAAGCACGAGTGGATGTCACATAACCCTCGCTGACGAGGGATCTATCTTATTTAGACCATGGGTCCATTAGCGGGTTATAACGCATTCACGCGAGACGTGCGGTTATGCAAGTTACACCACGTCTGGGTCTTTTGTTCTTCACTTACACCGTGGTCTAACATAACATACACTTCAAAATAAAAATAATGACATTTTGATGGATTTCTTAAAACAGCCTACAAACAACTTTGGCCTAGAACTGAATTATCATTTCAAAAGTATTTATAATATAAATATCATTGCCAGGCCAAAGTTTTCATAAAAGGGTACACAAACTTTTTTGATTTACAAAAAAAACAAAAAAAAAACAAAAAAAACAAAACCTTTTCCTACATTTTCAAAAAGATGGGTGAATGAAATTTGTGTAATTATGATAACTTTCTTGTCATATTCTAACTTATACTATGGTGACAATAATGCAAATTAAAATCTATAGCTCTGAAAAGTAAATTAACCCAGCCACCCTTTGAAATAATCAAATCTTACCAGAAAACCAAGATGAGGATCAGCTATAAGTTAAAGATGTCATTCTCATATGCTACGCAAGTATATATTCATATAAGATGTTCAAAGCACAGAAAAACCTAATGAAACTATACATTTAATAATATTAAGACTACCTTGACAAGAATAACTGTAGAAACTTAACCACAACCACCAATTCAATAAATAGATAAATGTGTATGTATGTATGTATATAAACTGGCATCTCAAGACCCACTTAAATATAATAATATTACAGATAATAATTAACCTTTTTCTCCTTTCCATGGGGACACACCTTGCTTTATATCATGTATGTATTTGTTGAGCACTGTAAATGTATTTGGATTGCCTTGTTCATGTTGGTTAATGTTTGCATGAAGTGCATCACTAACACCTAATGTGTCATCTGGTGTTTTGTTTTGACCATTGCCCCTTCCCCCTTTATTTCTACCAATGAGGTCTTGATAGGGAGGTGGTTTCTGGGCAGAGTTGTGGCACACTGAGGAATCAGGGACCAGTCGGCACTGAGTTCTGTGAGCCCTCACTGATGCGACTATTGGATTGACCCTTTCCCCACTCTTTCCACCCTGTTTGTTTGTCTCAAACTCGTACAATTTGTTCACAGTTTTAGGCATGAAATCAACAGTTCTGGTTTTTGCTGTGCCCAGATCAACTGAAGAAGCCTTCTTTAAAACTACTGACTCCTTCTGAGCCCCAGATCCCCCAGAGTCATTAAGGTGGTCAACTGAAAGGGAGGAGACAGCCCTCATTGGGTGATGTTTTAACCCTCCGCTAACAGTTCCCCTGACAACAGATTGTAGTTTTTTGACAGAGGCAGTGTTGGCATCTTCCATCTTGTGGACAGGGTCAAGACAGGTTGCAGCACCAGTACCAACAATCTCACTCACACATGAGCCAGGGTATTTTGCATCAGAGGCATCTTTTAATGGCCTATCTGAAAAATCTTGATCTTGTGACTTTTGTGTGTTCTTTAGAAAATCTACATCTAGTGACTCTGTATGACTGGGGGTTTTCTGGACCTCACATAAACCACTTTTTGCACTTTTGTCTGCATGTGCAACTTTCTTGCAATCATTATCTGGGAGACTCGATGTTGTTGGAATCACATTCTTACCAAAAGGAGAGGTTCTTTTAGTATAATTATAATCCTCATTTGATGGCGAGCTAGAGTACCCTTCTTTTCTTTGACCACACAAACCCAATGGTGTAGTAGTTATGGCAGGAACCTCACCATTTTTGACAACAATATTTTCTAAACTTTCACAACTATATTGCTGGGATCGTAAAGGAGCATGAAAATTTGCTTGTTTCTCACCACTGCCCTGCTTCACAGCAAAGTTATCATCGGCTAACATGAGCTGTGAAAAACTAAAGCTTTTTGGTGGATGGCTGCTGGACCTTGCTGGACTTTTTGCAAAACAATTTTCACTCGACTTACATAAATTTCCAGACAGAGAAGATGAGGCCTGCAGTAAAGAATGACTCCACAGTGCCTTTCTGTACTCCAGTAAGTTGGGCATTGAGCTACCAATTGCCACACCTGAAGTCTGTGAGGAAGGAACATTTCTCTTGTCTCTACTGACTGAATCTTGTTGGTCCTTACCCTCTAAATGTGAACTGCCCAAGACATTCCTATCTGGCTTTGACTCTTCTGCCAAAAGGCTTGGGGAAGGCTGCCTATTTTTAAGTAAGCCTCTATTTACAATTTCTTCCTGCACAGCTTTTTCAAACACAGCATTTTTCCTACCTGAGCATTCAAGCTGTTTAATATGAGTAGAGCTATCCAGGATACCTGGCTGTCTTGAACTCAATCTGCTCGGACTGGAAACATGAGCCCCGCTGTGTAAATTGTTTACACTCTCTGCCCTACCTTCATTGCCTTTACCTATATAGCTAGAACCCACCAAACTGATTTCATATTTTTGCCTCATATCTCTTGTCAAAGAAACTGCATTTCTATGTGTATCTATCAAAGGCAGTGAATCTTTGAACTTTAAGCTTGCCAAGTTGGTTATCTCCTCTACTTTACCATATCCATCAAAACTATTCCCCTCTTCAACATGGCATGGCCTGCTTCTCTGTGGGTAAATGTCAGTGGGCCTTATTCCCGGTACTGGGTTTCTACTGAGATGTGCCCCAAGAATAGTCAGTTCCCCTTTTCTTAATTCATCTTTATATAATGTATGCAATGCTAATTGTTTGCATTCACTGGGGTTTAAGTCACTTTCATTTTCAGGGAGATGATTTCTCCTAAGTTCGACCTTTAACTGATTGTCACATACTGATTGTTCATTGCCAGTAGGGTTATTAACAAAATGGCCTCCTACATCTCTGCTTGTGAAATTTTCAAAGCTGCCCTCCCCAGCTCCTGTAGTATATTTATCATTTGTTGAAGGATTAAGGCTTCCAGGTGAGAGTGTGAGGTGATTAGCACTGGCAGCTGGACATCTGAGATGCTTGCAGCCTAGAGACATACAATATACATCACTATTTCTATTCCTCATATTCTCAGATCTGTCATCATTATCTCTAAACACTTCAAAGGTTTTTGGTAAACAACCAGTATTTTTGCTTGTCAAAAATGGACTTCGACTTTTATCATCATAACAACCTTTAACCTTCTGACAAGAGATTTGTGGCTTTTCTAATGGTGAATGGGTATCTCTTTCTTTTTGAACTGGTACAATTTGCCCATCAAAATTTTGAAAAGCATCAGGGATTTTACTTGTTGCTAAGTGTTCAAACTCCGAATGTGCATGGATATTTTGATCAAATTCTGACTGATTTCTATCAGATAAGTTACACTTTTTAAAACTAGATTCACTTGAGAAGAATTTTTTTTGATTCCTGCAGCTATTTTCATTGGGAAATACATTTGCTTGCTGCCTGTATGCTGATTCCTCTAGCCTGACCCTTACTGGAACACAGCTGTCAGTCCTGTTTTTTAAAATGTTTTCTCCAGCTTTTACCTGAGCTGCTGGGGTTTGCTGTAATACAGACGGAACATTTGATCTCAATGCACTACTTGCATTGAACTGTTTTGAGGTACCTGTACCTCTTTCTGCTGCAGAGCACCAGCTACCCTTTAATTTTGCTTTTAAATCTGGGCATGACCTGGACACCTTCTTTAAATTAGACACATAAATTTCGTACCGATTAAATTGATCATTTATGTGTGTTCCATACAGCACTGGCCCATGCTTTGCTTTCCTAGTCCTCTCTAGTATCTCCATATATGGACCTAAGCGAGGAGAGCCCTTGGAGTGGGCAGCATAACTTTTTCTACCCTTAATACATCCAGTGAAATTTTTCTGCTTGGCTTCATCGCCAAGTGTTTTATATTTGGCATACAGGTCAAGAAATGAAGAATTCCTGTTAAAATCTGGCATGGTTCTTTTGTAAATTGCCCCTCTACGCAGGGGAGTATTGAGATTATCCTTACCTGCTGAGTTCTGATAAATATACCTGAGATCACTTAATGATTTCTGCTTCTCTCTCAAACACTTCTCTCTTGTCGGACTCCACTGAAGTTTGGGTAATTTCTTGTCATAAAAAAAGAACTGCTTTTTTGCCTGGGCTTCCTGTAATTCCATATGCATATCTTCTAACTCTGTGAGAACCTCCCTTTTATATTTAGACAGCAGGATGTCATCTAAATCAAAGGTTCCCCTATCTAAATCAAACCTTTTCAGTAGACTCACTCTATTCAGATAGCCTTTACCTAAAAGATTGTTGCTATGAACTGTGAGACCCTCTATCTCTGCAATGCGCTCCAGGATAGAATAGTGCTTCTGTAGCTGCAGGAAGTCCTCAGACGGACGGCATGAATTCAAAATACCAGCTGCGTATGACTGGTAGGTGTGGGGATCCAGTCGCGAGGACCTTTCACTGCAGTCTGACTGACTGTTTGCAGCAGGGTTACCATTGAAACAAGCTCTGGCAATGTATTTTCGTTTTACATGATCTGTGCTCAATTTTTTATGAGCCTCACATTCAGAATCCTGACTTCTTATTGATGTTCCAAGATCATACACCTTTGGCCTTTCTACAACATCAGCCCCACTTACTTGTGATAGAAAACCATCAGTGCCAATTATATCGCGGGTTCTTGGTGAAGAACTATCCTCTGGTTCTGAATCATTCACTAATTGGGTTTCTGCATTTAGGATGTTACTATGAAGTAATTCATTACTGCCATGCCCACTGGAGAGAGAGCCCAGTTTCACATTCTTGGCAAAATATGGAATGTTGGTAGAAGATTGTATAGGTGGGCAGATGGAAGCCGCATCTGAATCTGATTTATAGGCCATATTTTCTTTACACAAGATGCTGTCATTTGTGCTAGTAGGGTGCTGGCTAGGTTTGGGATGTTTGCTGTTTTTCAAAATAGAATGTGGAAATACGTTGGGAAAAGGCGTTTTTTTGCCAAGCTTTGAGATATCTGGTTCAGACCTTGAACAAACTAAAGAATCATGTCTCCTGACCCTTACTTTCTTTACTCTAGATTTGCTCTTTTGTTCAACCCTTTCTGTAGTATTGTTACTTTGGCAGTTACTGGACTGAGAGTGAATTTTTGAACTATCTCTCTGATCAAAATCATCCAAAGTACTAATATTATTATCACTTTTTGTGTGACGCAATTCCCTTGTAAAATCAGACAATTCTATTTCTCCTTTTGCTCCATGATCGCTTATATCTGACTGAGACATACCAAAAATGTCTCCTACAGACTCAATATCCTGGTGATGTAACTGCTGGATTTTCTCTTTTATACTTTTTGTGGGTTTTTCTACATAGGAGTAAGCAAAAGGCAGCCTCTCTCTTAACTTAGCTTCACTATCCCAAAAGATGTCTAGTATTTTTTCATCTGAAAGGCTGTTGTCACCTTCATTGAAAAAGTTGTCAAATGACTGAGCTGGTGTAGGAGGTGGCGACACAGAGTCGCCCGCCATGTCGCCAACTGGATGACCAAGGACGTAATTTTTGGTTGATACACAGCGATCAATTTCTGGAAGATGCCTCAGATCAATTTCACTCAAATGATCCAACGCAATCTGGTTTGTGTTTGTTATTCGATTATCAGAATCTCCTTTTGTTTGGGCTGAATTCCTATCATAATTATTCACATAAACATCTTGACAATTTCCAGTTATGAGGAAATCTGGATTGTTGCTACTGCTATTCAAGCCTTGATCTCTAATATCTAAATGTGCAGCATGATCATGGTTTGCTCTGTATAACCTAGAGTATCCCCCTGATTGTCCAATGACTTGACCAAGATCTTGACCAACTGGCTGGTCACTGCCATATACATGAACAGGGAACTGGCCACTACTACCCATATGGACAAGATACTGGCCACTGACATCTATATGGACAGGGCACTGGTCACTATCACTAGCATGTACTGGATGCAGGTCATTATCACCAGCATGGATAAGGGGTTGGTCACCTGCATGGACAAAGAATTGGTCACCTGCATAGGCAGAATGCTGGTCACTTTCACCAACATTGACTGGGTACTGGTCACCTGCATGAACAATGTATTGGTCACCTGCATGGAAAAGGTATTGGTCACCTGCATGAATAGGATGCTGGTCATGATGACCAACGTGGACAGGGTACTGCTCACCTACATGATTTATGTATTGGTAACCCACATGGTTAGGATCCTGGTCACTGAAACCAACATGGACAGAGTGCTTTTCATTAACACCTTCATGATCAGGGTACTGACCATCACCACTTTCATAAACAAGGAACTGGTCATTGGCATGAACATGGACAGGGTACTGGTCATCCCCACCTTCATGGCCAGGGTAAATATCTACATCACATTCAGGACTGTGGTCAAAGTAACTAGCTACAACCTTTTCCCACAGTTCAGGGATCTCAGGTTTTCTGTACCAGAACTTTTTCATTCTTTTTCTTTGAGGAGAGTCTTCTGCAGCCATGTGAACGTTGCTGTTATTATTTATTTGTCTTATTTGTTAACTTGATATTACTTTCTGTCTGATATGTTTATGCAAAATAATTTTACAAACTTACACATTCCCTTTTTGCTTTCTGCCCTTAGTTCTGATATTGTTGAATGTATTTACAATGTGCAATGTTTATGTGTCAACCGATTTGATTGTGCTATTTGCGTTGTTACTGATATGTAGCATATATGCATGTATGAACTGAAAAGCAAGGGTCCCAGTCAGCAAGACTCTTGAAAATTGCTGCAATGAAAAAAATGAAAATCTGAAATGTAATTGTAATCAAATTAAACTGATTTCTTCTTCTGCTCTGGAACTACAATAAACAATCAACCCTGCAACCCTGTATAGAAAACCCATGTCCAAAAATGACCAGGCAAACTTTGTACAACCTTAACAACCAGCTGAGTGGCTCAGCTGGGGTCACCTCAAATAAAGATAAATGCAAATATAAAAATAGAGGCAAAATACTGTAATATCCCATATCAAAATTAAGAATCTTAACAGACTAGCCAATGACCATTAATACCTAAACTATACTGATTTGAAAGTGTTATTATTTTTTATATAAATTCAAGCAATGAACCACAGCATGCACAACAGTGTGCAAAATTTTTAAAATATAGAAGTCTTCCATTCCAAACTAATTATAAATAAAACGGACACCAAATTTGCATCAGTCATGGTGATAAGAATAAAGATTTGCAGATTCCTCACAGTAAAGGATGTATCAGGCTAATTTTCTGGAATCTAAACTATGAAAATTGTGTTTCGAAATTAAAATGATGCCAAACAAACTGGATGTGTCACTGATATGGGTGATGTGAAATTAGCCAAACATGACATTTACTACATTTCAAAGTTTTGGTTCCTAGAAACAAGACATGTGCATTTCAATACCATTACTGTCATTAAGAAAAAGGATACTAAATATATACATCTATTTGACACTCTCAGCACCGCATATCAAGCACAGGTACTTAAATCCATTTTCAAAATACTAGGTAACCCAAAAGATTTTGAGAAGAATTCACATGACACCATACAAAATATATCCCCATAATTATACATAACTACATGTAGCTGAAATACTTTCATTGTTTCGCCTTCTTTACACAAATATTTATCAACAACAGAATCATGTCCCACGCTACTCCATGCTAGTAATTTATGGCAGGCTGTTTTTTGTAGACCCCATTCCACCCATGTGCATTTTTTAAAACAATGTTGCATTATTAAATAATTCTAAAAATAAACCCCCTTTATGCTGACATGTCTTTGTTGAAGAATTTGAAAATTTGTGCCCATGCACCATATCAAGACAGAAAAAAAAATCCCCTCTGACTTTTTAAACAAATGACATTTGATTTATTCTGCATTGAAGATAAACATGTGTGCTAAGTAAAAAAGCTTTCCAGGTCCAATATTAGGAACATCCTGGCATTATTTAATTAATGCAAACAAACAAACAAAATATATGTGAAAAATAACATTTTTTGTGAAACATTTTTCTTTTTTAAGGAAATGAGAAGAGTTGTAAATACAGATGCAAAGATATGTCTTAAAAAAACAGTACCTGATGTCTTTTCTGGTAATGTTTTTCTCAGTCCAAAGTGTGGTATTTCACCTCCTTGTTGTATTTGTTTGTAGAGCTCTTTGGACTCAGAGGTGGGAGAGCTGGAGCTACTGTGAGCAGACACTGGGCCATCAGAGTCTGAAGGAATCTTTATCCTGGCTGGCAAAGTGCTAGACAAGGAAATACCCAAAACCACATTTAAGTCTCTGTCAAACAAAAATTTTGGTGATTTCAAATAATCAATATAAATCTACAATCAATTTGTAAACAAAATTTATTTGTTAACTTTTTAGACAAAAATATTCCTCTGTCTCATTTTCTGGAATAAACATGAATGATGAAACATGAACTTGCTATATATGCTTATTGTGTAAATATGTAATGTTGAATTATAAAGCTTAAAAACTCACTAGGAACTGAACTGTCCAGGCAGGTCTGGTGGAGGGTTGAAAAAATATGGACTCTAAAAATAAAAAAAAACAAACTTTTCTTAAACAACCAATTTGCATCACATACTTTGGGCCCTCTTTTTTCAGACACAAATTTTCCATGATTTCAATTGCTTCAAATAATACATAATATTCAAATAAATTTTCCAATTACTATTTCATGCTCCACTACCTCCAAAATTCATATGGCAATGCAACAAAATTGCAATCAGCACTATTCAAGTTCTGGCTATGGAAAGGGATCGAGTTTCAAGCAGATACATTCTGAAGAAAGCTACAGACAGCTTATCTTAATGCACTCATATCTAGCCCATCAACTGACTGAGAACTAACTCGGAATTGCTGCCTCTTTTACTTACTACTTTCGCCTGTCTGAATGCGATAGAGGAGAACCCTGGTTCATACTCCTCAATTTTCCTTGGCTGGTTTTTGTACACTTCTATGCGATTACGGGCACTGGGTGGAGACCATGAACTGTAAAGATGAATATTCACAATATTCTTCTGTATAATGCATGATATAGCTGTATCAGCATACCATAACTGGAAATTTTGCTAACAATTTCAAAATTCCAGTACAGTAAAGCAGAAAAATATGAACACCTACAGCACTGACGCATAGTTCACTTTCTAAAACCAATCATGTGTTCCAAATGTCAAAAAGAAGAAAAACACAACCCAAATATCAAGTATAATTTAAATCCTATTAA